AGGACTCCGCCTGCTCGGTCCCCCCACTGGAGGTGTCGCTGCAAGTGGCGCTGTGGCTGCTGGCGTCGCAGACCTTGCTTCTTCCCCCGTATCGTTGAGGGGGTTGGGTGCTGGCCTGGTGCATCGGCCTGCTTGTCCGCACAGCCTGCATCTCGGGTCCTCACGTGCATGCACTTTGCGGAAGCCTAGTTGACCCACAACTCCCGCGAATCTTTATATACGATATGTTCGTCTCCCCATCGTCTCCAAGTGCAGATTTTGCTATCTTCTCGGCCTTGCCACTATCACGATCTCTGAGGTCGCAAAGTTCGTCACCTAGCCCGGTTGTAGGAAGTGCGAAGGTAGTCCCCTTCGTCGCAAAGGAGGCTGGAGAAGAAATGCGTCACTTCCCCCTGATTAAAGCCGATGGTGAAACTCTTACAGTGACGAGACCGCGCGATTAGTTGTAGGGCGGCAAACGTGCCGTTCACGAGTATAACTCTATCCTTCCCTTTTAAGCGGAAATTTTGCGGCTCTCCTTAGGGGAACAACCTCAGGCCAACCCGACGCCTCCCCCCAATGTCAAAGAGGCAACAATTTCCAGGATAAAGATGCGGATACTTGAGCCAAAATTACTCTCCCTCTCTCTCTCTCTTCCTCTCTCTCTTTACTTTGCTCGGGCATTAGGGCGAGCAGTCCTCTCTATATCTCTCTCTCTCTACCTCTTTCTGTGTCTCTCTCTCCCTCGCTTCCTCTCTCCCTTATTCTAATAAGAACAACAATAATAATAGTAACGCCACCACCAATGAGACGAAGAAGAAGCACAGTAACATCAATAATAACAACACCTAGTCCCAGCCGATTTATCCTCTTCTCTCTTCTCTGCCTCTCTCTCCCTCTCTCTCCCTCTCTCTCCTTCTCTCTCCCTCTCTCTCCCTCTCTCTTTTCTCTTCCCCCTTCCCTCTTCGCTCCTCTCTCCCTCTCGTCTCTCCCTGTCTCCTTCTCTCCAACAACAACACCATCAACAACAACAGCACCACCACCACCACCACCACCACCACCACCACCACCACCATAAGCGTCTGGGCCCAAGAGAGTTACGAGTGCCCTGGGACTCTTTTGGTTGTGTGTGTTTCCTCTCTCCCCCCCCCTCCTTCCCTCTAGGTTCAGGGTTGACCGATTGAACGCCATATCTCCCTGCGCCTCTGACCTGCACTGAGCATTACGGCTTGTACTCCTGGTTACACTCTGCATGTCTATATGGCTTCTTCTACGACTTGTTCTGGCATTGCTGACTGTTCACGCACCACGGCACAGCTCTGGTTGGACAGGGGAATCGCGGACAAGCCTCAAGGACAACTGCAGGGACTTACACTGGGATACAAAGGCATGCGACCACCGACTCAGTTCACTACGACTCCCTCGAGATCCTCACCACAGGGGGAGACCCAGGCGGACGCAAAGGCCCACGCCAGGCGGTTGGTATCGGAACATCCTCGGCGACCTACCTCGGACACTTCATCCGGATGCTCCTTGGACCTTAATTCCATGGATTAGTCTGTGCACTCCGGTACCGGCTGGTAGGTATACCTCCGCCGGTGGCTGTGCCCCATCCGAGAACATTACCACCACACCTCCTAGGCTTCAGTCAACACGTGCATTCCGGTTAGCCTGCCATGGTTGCCTCCGTCCAAGCCGTCAGCCTGCCGTGTGCGCCACCACCCCCCCGGTTCGGTTTAGCCTCGCCCCATCTAGGGTACACTGCCCTGAGTCTAGACCTTATCCGCAGGTACTGTTTGCCTCTTGCCGCCCGCCGACTTGCGTCGCTGCGGCTGATGCAGGAGCAATCTACTGTCGTCAGCGCACTTTGCCTGCCTGTCTCAGCCAACAGTGTCCTGCTATCATGATTCGCGTCACAGCAACTGATGTCATGCCGGACGTTCGGGCTCGGAGTGGGGCTTGCATCGGGTCAGGTTTTTCGAACTTCGCCCAACCCTTGATAACTAGGCCCCTCTGGCACTGTCACCTCCAACACGGTAGGGTTCCGACTCAGCTGGATGTCACCACGCAGGCACAATCCTTCAGGGTCTTAGCGGACTGCTGGCGCTTAACCATGGCCAGAGGTCGACCGAGAGGACGCAGAGGTCAGCGTCGACGCAGACCCCGGGACGCTGCAAGGGAGGCTGCTAGGCCGCCGAGGCGTGTGCGACGAGCCGGTCGCGATCAGGAGCAAGGTTTAGAGGCTCTGTCGATCAGCTCCGAAGATGAGAGTGTCAGCTCGGAGACATCCGATCCAGTGGCACCAGTCACAGGGGCAGGTGCAAGCTCTTCGGCTCGGCCGCTTACGATGTACTCCATGACCCCTTTGTGTCAAGGGGACAGGGATCAGGAAGCGGAACGCAGGCTGCAGCATGACCTCCCGCCTGATACTTTCATGGCACTTGCGGCGCGAGCAGGCAGACCATACGCTTGCGTGGGCACGTCGGCAGCCTCTTCATCTTCCACTGGAGTGCCAAACAGGCTTGAGTCGAGTCGCGAGGTGGCTGATGTTCGGGCGACGCATCGCACATGGCCCGCGGGAGCACTACCCCGCACCATATTTGCGGATACGAGTGTCATAGGATACAGCCATACGGCCACCTATCGCCACACTGCTCTGAATGTGCCGCCCTCCATGGGCGAAGCTGCAAGCACATCCGTTCAGCCCGGCGCCACTGGGACAGTTGAGGACACAGAGGCAGTCGAGACCTCCATGGACAACGAGGTTTTTATAGTGGATGGGACCGAATTCCTGCGACCGAAGCCGAAAAAGCGCCCTCGAACACCTCTTCCTGAGAATGTGGGGGCACACAGACCAGGCGTTGCATCGCTCGAAATGCTCGAACTGCCGGCGGAACATACTATTCCACCCTTGGTCTCCGCAGAAGACAACCTGGCCATAGAAGCAGCGAAAGACAGATACGTGGGTACCACCACCGACATGTGTTTCGACTCCGACGAGGAGGATTTGGAGGCATACCTGTCATCGCTCCACTCCTCGGCCACGGCGCCAGTATGTCTACCAGGAGCACCACGGACCCCTCCGGGGGCGGAGGTCGCTCTCATATGGAGGGTGGCGGCGGCAGAGTCCGCCGCATCGCGACACAGGCTAGGTGAGTTGTCGGCAGCGGACGGCTCGGGAACGCCACCAGCTGCGTTCCTGCTCACGCCGGAGTTGCGTGTGATCCGAGACCGTTGCGAGGAGGGGTCATACATGCAGCAGGGCTCGGTGACTTCTGCATCGGGCCTCCCTAGGTGGAGTTGTGGGTTTCCTCCCTCGGATTTCTGGGATTGCGCACTTGCTGATTTGCATAGACCCCGGTTTCCCACCTCCTCAGCTTCGGGATGCCTGACTTGTACTCTGCCCTACGACCCTAGTCTCCACCGGATCCCCCGTTTTGGATTATTGCACCATTGTGGCTTCGTCGTGCCGCTTCATGCCTGGCTGTTGCACTCACACTCGCAATTGTGGATACCGAAGGACCTGCCTGCCACGCCACGCGGCCGCCAGGCCGGCGCCGGCTCTCAGGCAGCGCGCCCTCTAGACACCCTTCGACCTTGCATGATTCAGAGGTGTGGATTTCCTAGTGTCCATTCAGAGCACCCCGACACAGGCACCGAGAGATGTGGATGTTCGGGGCAGGCACCTCAGCAGCGCGTGTGCCCATATGTTCCCACGCTCCTTCAGTGTCGTAGGTTTCTCCACCACCCATGGGTGCGCATCCGTTGGCGCCGTAGGAGTAGGCCTTCTCACCCTAGGACCCGTAGGTTACATAGCTCCCGGAGCTGCACTTGCCACTCTAATCCCCTCTACAACGGCTTGCGGCACATCTCTCACTGCATATGTGACCCAGCCCTTCGTATCGGTGCTGCCGCAATACACCGCTTTGGCGAGACACTTCACCTCCTAGGCCGAAGGCTGCGACCTATTCGTGCAGTGCTTCTACGACCCTGGTTCGAGTCGGCTCCCTCAGAGCATTTCGCTGAACACGTTGTAGTTCACCCTGAAGCTGTAATCCCCCCCCCAATTTAGTAGAATACACGCACAGCCCATTGACGGCAGCGCGCCGTCGTCCCGACCAATGGTCGGGCTCTCCCGGTCCCAAGTCCGGGAGGTGTAGAGACCCATCCTTTTGCAGATCACTAGCTCGTGTAGGGCTGTACTTCTTACATGTACACGCAGCTGGAGCGGTCTCTACATCAGACGCGAGGGTTCCACTGGCTTCCCAGGTCAGTGGGGGAGCGGACACGTCTCCCGCGGCTCCAGGCAACGCACCCGCGAAGCCTCTGGGAGCACAGGTTGCGACTTGCAGGTCGCCTCTTCCGTCCTTGCAGAAGCAGAGAATCGTCAAGCGTTCGCTACAGAGAGTTCACCGACGCATCATACGGACAGGTGGTGCCTGGTACAAGGGTCGATGGTACGACGCTGAGTCGGCCAGAACCTTAGCTCAGGAAGCATCGGTCTCGGGGTCCGCGAATCCCCCCACGACAGATCTGCCTCAACGCACACTGCTTCAAGCGCGTAGACACACTGGGAGGGGTGAAGACCCCCCGCCGAGTCACCAGCACCTGAGGGTCATGACATGGAACGTAGGTGGCTTGGGAGGAGGGTTCTTCGATGAATTGTTGGTCCACATCCATCACAACCCCATTGATGTCCTGTTTCTTCAAGAAACGAAGTGGAGGTTCAGCAGCAGTTGGGAAACTAGCCAATATGTCTTCATACACAGCGGATCTTCAGCGCAGGACTTCAAACAGGGGGGCGTTATGATCATTATTGCCCGGCGTCTGATCAACCCAGGTTCGCTCCGCTACGCCGAACCTCTTCCAGGCAGGTTGTTGCGCGCAACATTTCATCACAAAGGTACACCCTGTGACCTTGTGGCATTTTATCAGCACACCTGGCGGGGCACTGATCATGTCCGTAGACTGCGTAGCCAAGCCTTGGATCAACTTCATAAACTCATCCAACTAATTCCCAGGAGGAGCGTCATGATCATAGGAGGTGACTTCAACACTTCCTGCACCACGGCCAAGCCGCATGTGGGCACAGGCCTGCTGCCCCCGCCGCCCAATTGGGCCCTGGATCAGGAAGACTTCCAGGCACTACTGGTCGGTCTTGGTTTGTGTGCCATCAATACCTTTGCTGACTCTGGCTCCCCACATACCTTTGCCTGGGGTTCCCAGCGCTCCCACATTGACTTTCTTCTCATCCGATGTGATATGGCCGATAGATTCCCCCGCATGGCCCGCCCACTGCATGAGTATCCGGTGGGGGCGTGGCGAGGCGGACCCAAACATTACCCAGTCTTTGCACGCATCCCTGTGCACTGGTGCCCATGGCACCGCACAGGAACCCCGCAACGCACCTTGCAGATCGATAGACATGCCATTGCAGACGCATTGGCAGGCCAAGCCGACGAGCGTGTCAGCTCCTTCCGACAGGAGCTGCAATCATGCCTCCCCCAGGTAAGTCAGGAACTTCAGAGTTTGCACGACGCTGTGTATGCTATTGCTGTTAAGCACTTCCCCCGGAAACCTCCGGTCCAGGGCCCTCGTCCCTGGCAGGACGGTACTCTCCAGCAGTACGCTGCGCACATGTGGGGACACCTCCGCCTCTTGCGGCGATGGGCTCAGCGCCCAGGTGCAGCATATTGCAAGCAGGCCTTGTTCCGCTGCTGGTACCACAGTATGAAGTACTTGCGTGCATCGGGGTGCACAGCAACAAGGCAAAACACTTCGTCGAGCCAGGAGGCAACACCTGCTGACGGAGGCAGAGCAGGCAATCAGTTCCGGCCAATCTCGTCTCTTCTATCAGCTCATAGACAAACTAGCACCGAAGGGACGCTTTCGGAAGTTCCAGATGAACAAGGGAGGCCAAATCCTTTCACCAACCGAGGAACTGGAAGTGATGCGCACACATTTCCTTCAGGTCTTTAACCATGGCAACTCTGCCCAGTCCTTGGCTCTCCCCAGTAGTCCGGATGCTGAACCGCCCACGTTGTGTGTTGAGACGCCAGAGGTCCAGCATTTCTTGGATAAACTACCGGCCAGGAAGGCCGGCGCCCCAGGCACGGTACCCGGGGCGGCCTGGCGCTTATGCTCGGACATGATCTCTCCACACCTCACCCGGATCTTGAACAGTCGATGGAGTGAGACTCCCCTCACACCGCCCGAACCCTGGACATCCGCCACATTGGCTCTTCTACTTAAGCCCAATAAACCCGGCTCCTCACCCAAAGACTTCAGGCCCGTAGGGTTGCTGGACGCACTGGGCAAAGCCACGATAGCGATGATTATGTCCAAGGTCAGGTTCGACTTAGAAACCTACATCCGGAGCAGTCCCCAATTTGCTTACATCGGCGGGCGATCCACTCAAGATGCACTTAAACGAGTATTCGCACATAACTCTGCGGTTCGGGAACAGCGCACCCCCAGCACTAGGGATCCTCACCTGAAACGCCTTGGGGTGAAGCCTCCCCCCCTGCAAGGGGGGCTGCAGGTGTGCTTAGATCTCTCATCTGCATTTGATATGGTGCCTCGCCACCTGGTGGCCGAGGCACTGCACGATGCAGGCATTTCGGGTGCGCCTGCCGAGCTTCTCATGTCTTGGCTATCGCAGTGCAAGTATGATCTTTACATAGATCAGCTGCATACTGACATCCCCACAACCAGGGGCGTCAAGCAAGGCTGTCCTGCCAGTCCCCTACTGTTCGCCTGCTTTATGACTCTCGTCACTAAACGTATTGCGAGTCGCCTCTCTGACGCCTGGGTATCTCGCTGCCTTACCCTTTACGCGGATGACTTCCACTTAGGGGACCTTTTCCAGGGCTACGCGGGGCTGGAGCAGTTATGTGCTAGTATCGGGTTCATCATGTCCACACTTCGAGCACATGGTATGAGTGTCCACGCCACCAAGGCGCAGGCCATCCTTACCATGGACGGTGCACAGAGGGGTACAGCACTACAGAAGTTGACTAAACAGACAGCCGAGGGCCGCCTACTTCGCATACATGTTAAAACGGGGGAAGAATACCTACCACTTGTTAAACAGGCTGACTACTTAGGCGCAGTGACCACATATGCATCCTCAGCTGCCGCCACTCTCCGCAAACGCATGCAACAGGCCAAAGCCACGCACGCTCGCCTTAGAGGGGTCCTTCACGCATATCGCACACTGACGCTGCATCATAGACTTCGTCTTTGGAGAGCCACAGTCTGGCCTAGTTTGGCGTACGGTTTGGAAACTTGTGGTTTGACGGAGGAACATCATTGCACGTTACAGACCCTACTTATGAAGCATTTGCGGGGTATTGCTCGATGTCCAGCCCATCTGACACATGAATCCGACGTTCATTTGGCAGAACGTCTCCAGGTACAACTCCCAAGGGCTGCGCTTCGCCGCACCTTTGAGGCTTCTTTCGGCAGACAGGAACCTGATGATGTACATGTCATGCCCTTCGAACACCCGTGGAATCGTTTTCTAGCTGCAAGCCTTGCGGAACCCACAGCAACCGATGGAGATGCCGGCCCTGCCCCCGGGTCCATCCATGCTCCGCCACCATCGTCCCCAGTGGATCCCAATCAGGTGGAAGCTGATCGACCGGATGCGCAGGCCCCTATGCCGGAGCCTGAGGCAACCTCTGCGTCACACATTACAGAAGGGTTCTCAGGACCACATGAAATGGTTCCACCACCTCCACCACCACCACCACCACCTACACAGTCACCGGCCCCCACCGGGTCGACGGAGCTCTTTCAGTGTCCGCAATGCCCCAAGATTTTGGACACGCGGAAAGCTCTGAAACTTCACATGGCTCGCTCGCACAAGATCAAAATTGAGCCTCAAGCATTTGATCGAGCAACGCACTCAGTAGATGGGGTCCCCACCTGCGCCCACTGTAAGCACGCTTTCACTCGATGGGAAGTGTTAGCCAAACACATAAGCTCCTGGAGTTGTCCCCAGATGCCGTTACCCGCCACTCACAGGGCGTCTGCCTCTGTGGAGGATGCATCGACCCCTGCCGCACCTGATGTCTCACCTCCACCCGATTTAGGTCGACCGGTGGCGGATGACTCGAGGGGGCCAAGTATGATCTGCGAGGCTCCAGCGGCAGTGCCATGCGTGCCCGACCATGCCGGCACTATCCCGTCTGAATGTTCTCTTCTGGTGCAGGTCCGGAGTGTCCTCCAACAGGATGGGGTCTCGGCCCTTCTACGTCACCCGCTGCAAGCCCAACTCAAAAGTCACTGTGGCTTGTGCGGTCAATGGATGGCCTCCCCTACGGCACTTCGCAATCATTATCGCAGCATCCACTCTACCATGTTTCAAAGTGCGGCGGCTCAAGCTGAACGCCTCATGCCACGCGTTGGGATCGCTATGAATCCCTACCTATACTGCAATACTTCACACAGACACCCCAGACAGCATCTATCGCACTGTGTAAATCTGTGGCAAAGCTGCCTCTTGAGCATACTTTTTCCTTCTAGCGATGGCCGGAGCTCAGAAAACCCAGGCCACGGAGGATGTCCTGTCTCAGCTACAGGAGTCCTTCGGAGCGGTGATCGGGAAGAGGGGAGCACAAGCACCAGCTCAATCGTCCACGGACGGCCGTGTGAACAAGGTGGGCAGAGGGATGTTTCCGCTGGGTGGCAGGGGCAAAGGCTTCCAAGGTCGCGGTCGACCGCCACAGAACAGACCCAGGGGACCTTGGCAGGGTGGCTTCGAGGACCAAGACCAGGACCAGGACGGAGAGCTCCTGCAGATGGTTGCGAGAGCGGTGATCATGCAAGGCGACTCGATCAATGTGCTTCGTCGAGCGACGGGGTGGGTCTTCTGGGTCCGCTCAGGCGACCATTCGATCCTGCCGATGCTGGCGGAGTTGGCCACCAAGTGGCACCATGCGGCCCAAGCGGAGACCATCTCTCCGACCCGGGTCTCCCTTCGAGTGGCCTTGTTCTGGGGAATCATTGCACACCTCAAGGACAAGCATGCACAGATGAACCAGGAGAACAAGGCCTACGCCCTCAAAAGTGGATGGATGTCGGAGGCGGGATGCTGGAACTATCAACGCTGGAACCCCACGCATCAATCCCTGGAGATCGATCCGGAGAGACAGGCGCTTACGCAGACCCAGGCTCAGGAATCGCTGGAGACGCTGCTCCAGCTGATCAACGGCGATACGATCACTCGCTTCACGGCCAGGAGGGAGCTACATGCCGACATGCAGGGCACAGTGGCTTTCCAGGCGGATGTGAGACTGCGAGCCAAGGGATCCGAAGAGCTGTACCAGCAGTTGGAACGCCTCCGAGGGCTAGCATTGTTCCAGATCATCGGCACCTCCTTTCGGCAGGAGGGGTACGGCCGCCCACCCTTGATCAGGGCGATTCAGAAACTCCTTCGCTGAGGCGCTTAGTGCTTGCCAATCATGCCAATGTTTGCTACCTTAATTCCGTAGCGGTCTGCCTCACTTGGACGCTCACCTGTGCACCCTCACTCCTTGTAGACATGTCCACTTTGGGCGTCAGGGCGCTGCAGCTGCTGACCACCCATGAGGGTTCTCCGTTACACCTCCTGCGGTGTCAACCTTGGGTACGCATACTTCATAACTGGGCGCAGCCCACTCGACAGCATGATGCAGCGGAATTACTGTCCCACATCATCCCCCTCCTAGGTCCACAACCGTTCTCTGGAGCGTGGGAGGCCAGAGGTCAGGAGCTCGGCAGGATCATGATACAGGACGGTGGCAGTTGCTTGGAGTCCGTCTCTGTGGACCTCCCCTCCAGGGGGGGGGCGCATACGGTTCAGTCCTTGTTGCATGGATGGCACTATCAGCATAGCATTCATGCTCTTAGCCAGCCGCCTACTGTGCTTATTCTCCGCCTCTCCAGGTTCACTGAAACCCGCCGGGGGATACGTAAACACACAGGTCTTATCAGTTGGGGTTTGGAAGTTCATGTTCCATTATTCTCGGACGGAGGACTGGAGTCCAGTAATATCCCATATCGAGTGTGTGCTGCCATTCTGCATCACGGCCCCCAAGTCGAACAGGGTCACTACACAGCAGTCGTTCACGATCTGGCTCAGGCCTGGCTTTTTGATGACAATACCATGCCACGACCTTGGCCGGCTGCCGAACCGAGTTCCCGCACACCCTATGCCTCGCGCCAGGTATATCTTTTGATATGCCGGCGCTTGGGGCACAACTGACAGGTGTGCCATGGGGATGTTCTAGCGCGTGTAGCTGCCTTGCTTTCCTCTTCCCCCACAATCCCCACCTTCTTTCCAGGTTGTGAGGGGCTCATCTGCTGCAGATGACTGGGGCGGGGATGGCGTTGGCGCTCCGAGTAAGAACAAACAAAGGGCTTGCGACGCTGTGTTTGACCAGATGAGCTATGGGCGCTTTCCCACACCTTAGTGCATCGCCCCATGCATCACCTGGAGTGCCTGAGCAGTGACGTGTGCTTGCGCTGCCGTTGGCTGGCTGCATCCATCAGTCACGGTTTTAGGTACCAGCACTAAGGTCCCACACCGTCGTTATTGCCCCCTTTGTCACCCCAGCAATGCCTACGGTGACCCAATAATCCCCGATCCTCGATTCTGTGCCACACCCTAAGCTCCCAGAATCCGCGGCGACCGCATGAGCATCACTCTACACCCCCTACACCATTGTTCGGCCGAAGCGGGTGTCAATGGAGTTCGCCCTCCAGCACTCTTCCCCATAGGTCCCACGGGTAGTCTCCTTCCCCCGGTCTTTAACATTGATCCTCGCTGGACCCACACAGGATTGGTGCCTCGGCTCGCAAACTTTTCTCTTGTATAGTGATCCGATAGTAAACCCAACAAAAAAAAAAAATGCTACCACGAAAACCGGATGGTGTGCCTCAAGATGTCTGGGACCTGGAACAACCATCCATACTGGGCATGGCGTTTGGCACCTACCAAGACCCTAACGATGATCCACCGTCACCTACCCCATCTCGTTGTTCACTGGCTTCTGCGAGCTTGAGCCCCCAGGGTGCATCACACGATGAGATCAGGTTGGATTCAGGGGAGCGTTTATGGGAAGGCTCTCGAATATCTCTGAGGCTACGCTCTCGATCTCGTTCGAGAGCATCAAGACCTACACCGGGAGCTGGAGCTCCTGCTCCAATTACCCCCTCCATGGCACCATCAGCAGCGCTTTCACCGCACATGGACATGGCCTCCCATGCTGGAGATGACCACTACATCAACACCGATCAGGACTTGGACCCCGCGGCTCGGGACCCTGACTCAGACTCGGATGTTTCAGTTGCCATCATAGAGCCCACCACGGTATGGAGTGATCTATGGAATATTAGCCAGGAAGAGGCCGCTCTTGATTATCCACTCCGGTTACCCACGGATGTTCCCCTTCCAGGTGCGCCAGCTCCAGGTGCGAAGGATGTGGAATACTTGGCGTACAACGTCTGCCGCCGAGGCTCTTGCAGCATCCAAGACTTTTGTGCAATGGCTGCCCTACTTCCGGCGCAGCCACAGGTGAAGCGACGGCAAAACTCAACCTCTGATGGCGCCGCTGGCGGACTTCAAAGAGTGTTTCTCACAGGTGCGTATTCGATTGGAGGCGGAGGACTCAGGGGAGTACAGACCAACACTGGTCTTTTTCCATGGCTTACTACGTGGCTTACCTCAGTGGTTCGTGGCGCTAAGGAGGATCATAGGTTCAGCAGTTGCGCATTTTTGGTTAACACTTTACATTATGTGCATCGTGACACTGGGAATGCACCTGGCACTTCGAACCTGCTTATCCCGTGCAATCGCTGGAAGGGCGGACAGTTATGGCAGGCGGACGTCGATGGATCAGTACGGTTGGAGGAGAACGGACCTTGCGGTATCCTGAGAAATGTGTCGCGACCATACATCCAGCTGTGCCCTACCACATTGCATGCCACCTACCCATGGGGAGGAGCGGACCGGATGGTACTAGTGGCATACCACGCCAGAGCCGTGGATCGCCTGCCGGCGAAGTGCCAAGATCAGCTACGACGCCGAGGCTTTTTGCCCCTGCACCACGCTGCGAGTACCGACTGAGTGCGGCTTGACGATTAGCCCTAAACCGGCAGTAGCTCTGTGGCATTCACTCTCCTATGAGTCGTATGGTGCTTTATCTCTGTATTCCCGTGCAAACATATGTACAACTTCGCATTTTGCATTCTGGAACGCTGTCTTCACTCACTGCTTAACGGGCCCTTCGGGGCGGGGCAGTGAGCTCTGCTTCTCGGGATGGTGCATCAACCTCTGATGCGTCGCTATGCGACCGGGCTTAAAGCCTGACCTATATATCCTGTCGCACAGCTAGGACCTCCTTAGCGGCGTGTAAAACGAAACGAAACCACCACCACCACATTTTATACGCAGAAGTTTGCAACTGAAAATCAAGCTTCAATTTTCCGCTGGACGCCAACATTGGTGGACACCCGCAGATCGACGAAAATCTTCGAATTTGCCGGTGAATGCTCCTGCCATCCTTCAAAAACCTTGGATTTTCCGCGTTTCTAGTCATCGAAGCCGCTGAAATGGGCGGAACCCCTGGAATCCACCCGCGGCCGAGTGTAAATGGCACATTTTGGAAGCAGAATGCGGTAACAGAAAATTAAGCCCAATCTTCCGTTGGGGACGCTGAAACTGCTGGAAACCGCCAATCCACGAAAACCGTCGAATTTGCAGATGAATACTTCCCTCTAAACGGCCATCCTTGAAAAACCTTTCGATTATCCGCCTTTCTGGCCATCGGAGTCGTCGCCCGTGATCCACCCGCGGCCTATAATGTACAAATGCCACATTTTACAAGCAGAATTTGGTAACAGAAAATCACGCCCCAATTCTCCGTTGGAGACGCCGAAATTCGTGGAGACCCGCAAATGCACGAAAATCATAGAATTTGCCGGTGAAGGCTCATGTTTCCCGCAGCCATCCTTGAAAAAGCTTGATTTTTCGTGATGAGATGGGTTGGATTGGTGAAACGAAGGGTGCTATCATCGCCTCGCACTTTTGCGAAGGTGTCAGTTCTAGGTGAGTTTCCCTGCAATCACTTCCCAAAGTTGGAACCGTAGCCTCGCAGCGCCTGCACATTCAGCTTTGAAACCAAGTTCCGCTGATGCTGCTTTCCGGACGGCCTTGCTTCCCAGGTTCAGCTTCGGCTGCAGGATGCGGTTGGCCAGAGGAGTTGCTTGTCGTTTTGCTAGGACCTCAGGCAAACTCCGCTGTGTGCAAGGTTGGCCCACAGTCGACCACAACCCTCCATGCACTTGAGCGGCCCCGATTCGCGGTGGTCCCCCGACATCTCCATAGTACCTTTGTTTGATAGAGCAGCAGCATTTCACAGCCCGAGGTCTCAACATGCTGCAGCCTGTGACACAACAAAAGTGCAAGTTTCTATGCTCAAGGTGCTTCCGAAGACAACATTGCTGGATGCTGCCACGGTACGCGGGCTGCCGTTGACGCAGCGATCTGTCATGTGTCATCATATGCAGGTCCTGCCGCGGGACTCTGGGTTGGGTGCTTGAAAGCAGGGCTCGGCATGTAGCCCCAGCACCCCTTAACAGGATGCCCATCGGCTCTGCTGAAGAAAAACTTAGGCGCCAAATACTGCACTGGCTGCAAATCTCGGGAGACCGAGAGACAACAGAACAAACAAAAACATCCGTATTATCACCCCACCCCCACCCCGACAACTCCGATGTCCAAGCCTCAACCGTTGAAGCCTCTGCGAGGACAAGGAGGTCTGGGGAGCCGAACAACAGGGATCACACTACTCAAGCCAGATGGAATCTTTTGGGGGGGGGGGGGGTGCATGCATGATCCCCTAGTAAACCCAGTATGACATTAAGTCTTGCGCGCGCCCGATACGTGAACTTCCGCACACGCTTAACGAGTCTTGCTTTGGCATGCATACATGACTCAATTCACTGCCGCGAGATGAGTTCAAACGCCCCAATCCAATGCTGCATGAAGACGCGACTGCTCTGTGACACTGGACGGCTGGCCAAAAGCGACCCAAGAGGAGGCAGATCCGTGATCATGGCGATGCTGTTTATGCCGTTTATGCAGCAGCGAGAACCGACTCGGGACACAGAAAGGAATCGCACCTGGCTCTGACTCATGCCTCACTGGAGTGCTCCCGTGGAGTTCGATTCTGCGCTATCCCCGGCAAGAAATTACGGTACTGCATGCGAAACCCAACCAGGCCTGCAAGCTCAAGAACAGATGCGCCGCGTGAAAGCCCTTGGTCCCTTAGCTCGACTTACCCGACCGGTCCATCCAAGTCAAGTTGGGCAGCTGATGCTGGCGGAAGTAATCCTGTGTGGCAGCAGCAGTGTCAAGCCTTCTCAAATCACCGTCACCCATGCGCTACAGCTTGTAGATTGTTCTGCAGATACTGCAGGGGCTTGTTCATGGCCATGCAGCAGCCCAGCCTGCTTCTCTGCGTGGGTCCGATAGACCTGGTCGACGCAGTCGCCCACGTGGCGGTGCATGTACTGCAGAGACGTGACCATAAACCTGCGGTTCTCGAAGCAGCTGGTCAGTCACTGCCAAACAGTGCTTTCGTGGAAGTCGAGCACAGGAACATCACAGAAGACCAGCGAACTGGCCCAGCCCACTTTTCTTCGACCAGATGCTGTGAAGTGGCCTATTGTCATAGGCTCGCCGCCAGTCATCCAGACTGTCTCTATCCTGCAAGGACATTCATCATCATCTGGACACTCATCCGAGTTCAAAAGCACATGTAAATGGCAAGGGCTGCATGCCTGAGTGCGCTAGGTGGTGGGTGGCTAGATCTGCATGTCTGTGTCTCCAGGTGCCTGTGTCCGTCCATACTCATGTATGTGAGTGCTAGGCACGCAGGTGCAAGGAGCACACCAAGGGCTCTGCGCCGAAGTGCCAACATCAGGCGTGACAACACATGTAGAAAGGAAAAATGTCGCTTGACTCGTTTTGCCGAATTCGGTCAGCCGATGCCAGAGAACCCTGCCTGACCGCGAACGTGCGGCGTGACGGAACGATACCATTTGCTGGCGGTGTTTCGGCCTGCACATGACACGAGATGAGGCTCTGGGATAAACGCCTACTTCATAAATTGGTATGTTGATTCCAAGCTGGTCCGGACAGGATGCTGCTGGCCAGACATATGTAAGGGGTGAAAGTTGATTTGGCCACAAAGGGTGCTACCGTTCCCACGAAGCAAAAGCATCCCCCAGGCCGCGTAATGCACCATCTTTGCCGGATAGCCACCCGACTTACATTCGGGAAGGCTTTCTACTTTCTACCGGTGACGGCGAGGTTAGGTCAGAGGACTTCTCTCTCCATCGACGAAAGTGACAAATCACAGATCAGTCTCTGAGAGCGGATCTAGGTGCACCTGATTGACTCTGACGGCTGACATTCCTACGGTGTTGTGCCCGACTGTGGAGAGTGCCAGGTAGGGAAGAGGGGTGTGTCGATGAGGAATGGAGGGGACAAGAGCCCTGGTCAGGGATTACTACTATTTACTACTGCTGTTTTCTTGGACCCCCTTCCGACATCGGGCATCAGCAGCAGCACGCATTCGAATCGCTTCGATCCCTGTCCAAATGATCGAATGGCACAGGTTCTGCGAATGTGCCAACTGAACAACAGTCTTGCTTCATGCTCTTCGCCAGTCATGCACTGAGATGACGGATAGCCAAAAGCCTATCATGCCATGGCACAGGAAGGCTTGAAGGCCTCATGCTCACTCCTTGAAACAGTCAACCTGCGTGCTGCCGCACTGTCTATGAGTCCATGCGACGTGGATCGCAACGATTCCCGACTCATTGTGCAGACAGCTTGCATAAACTCAACCCTGCCAGGCCGCTCGGCAGGCTCTTGAAAGCAAAAGCGAGAACAGACCCATGTTGTGTCGCGGGTCCTTGCCTGCTCCCGTCGCAGCTGGTGCCGTTTGTGTGAGTGGCATGTCAGCGACTCCGGCAGTTTGCGCAGGCTGGTGGATGCGCAACATGTCCTTTCGTGAGTTGAATGCTCTTTCGTCAAAACTGTCCACACGAGGAGTCCAAAGGAATGCAGTTGCCAGCCAACCAGCCATCTTGAGCGGCGTTGCGCAGTCCAGGTTCAACGTTCGACTCCCTCGACATGCGGGTGCACACCTAGTTGTAGGGTATCGATGCTTCCTTACAGAAACGTGCTCGAAGTGGCTCTCTGGCCTTGCGCATGTGTGGGAGCGAAGGGACGGCTTTGCTCTGGCGAAGTCCCACCGTGCCGAAATGCCTTATCCTGTTCTTGGTTGCTTTGGCTTTCGTTTTCTATGAGCTTGGACGCCTTCCGTTTTGGTGAGATTATGTGAGGTGCTCCTCTTGCAGCCACTGTCACTGCTGCTGGAACTCAAACCCCACCGTGGGGACAGTCGGTAGTTGGTGTGCCGATCGCAATCGGATTCGCAGCGCAGCGACAAAGCAAGCCTACCTTTGGATGCTGTAGCAGCTCTTTCTGCCTTCTTACTACGAATCACTGGCTCACGAAGCGCGAGCTGTAGGTATGGCATGGTCAGCCAAATGGCTTGGAGCGCAACATGTCCAATCGGCTCAAAACATGCAACCCACAAGGACCTTCGCTGGCCGACCGTCGCTGCTGCATGTCCATCTCCTGCAGAGGCTTGAATTCTTTGTCGCACAGGAAGAACCGTGAAGAACATGAACATGGATGCATGCGAGCGTTGCTCAAGGCAACGACCATGCGAGAGCGAGATGGGTCTTGTAAACACAACGGTATCCCTCCGACCTGCATCCGAAGCCTCGCGCTGTGGGTCCAAGCAGCAGTTTGCTTGATAAAAAGCGGCCAAAGGCAAACTTCAAGAGCGGAGTTTGCTCATGCTGTGCACAGCATGACGTTCTGTCTTCTGCAAAATCGGAGATACACTTGACTTACCTCCTCCTCCTCTTCTGCATCTCGGTGTGTTTTGTTCTTGCAGCTGCTGCGGCGCCGCACTCCCTCCCACAGATGCGAGGTGCCTGTGCTGCTATGTGGAAAACCTTGCGACCCTTGCCTCGACTCAACGACCTGGCAAAAGGTGCCGAAAAAAGAGAGACTCACAAAGCTCTCACCACTCAAGAAACGATTGAAACCCGTTGCTGGTGGTCTCGCCATTCATCGAGGCAGCTCTTCACCATGTTCTGCTGTGCCTCTGTCATGCTCACCATATGGCCCAACAAGGCTGCCTCTGAAGTCTGCCAGGCTGCGCAGCCATGAGCAGCATCAGGTGAAACAGGTGGCGGTACTCGTGAAGCATGTACACACTTGGAGAGGCCTTCCACAAGTCTACTAACTTTCTTCAGCTTCAACGACCTCCATCTGGTACCGGAGCCAAGACAGAACCTCAGCACCGCTGGAGGAGACTGACGAAGATTCACAGGTGCTCCAAGCTTCAAGGCCTCATCCCGAATACGGCCACGGAGAATCTCTCGGTTGGCGTCCTCGAAACACGGAGATGCCGAGGTCTCGTTTTGACAAGAGCTGGTGTTGAAAGCCAAATCTAACTGTGAAACAACAGTGATTGGGGGCAGTTTGGGGGTAGGTTCGCATCCGGCATCGCTCCTGGTATTCTCGTGCTGGATCTTTGCCAACTTGCTTGAGGGTCTCTCCCTCGTCCGGCTCTCCCAACCTTGTGAATGCTTCAGTTTGAAATCTTCAGGCATGCTCGTAATCTCAAGCATGCAGGCCTGTGCCGCATGGGCCGCAGCACACGTGAAATGGCACAGATCATGGCCAAGGCATGCCAAGGCAAGTGCTTACTCCACGTTTTCCGCTCCACATCATCCATGTCGATGTTCTGCATGAGCCCCTCGACAGAATGCTCTGCTCGCGGGCAACAAGGCTCCATCTGGGGTCTGGGCCTCCTTCTCAGCGAGGAAGCGAACAGCAGTTGCCAGCTCCTGACCACAGCGCAGCAGAGTTCCGACAGCGATGGCTGAAGTAGCACTTCCAAAAACCAGCCTCCTCTGCAGTGCCTTCCGATCCCAACTCTGCCCAGTGGCACGTCACCTGGCCGGGCCAGGGACCGCGAAACTACTGACTGCTCTTCTTCAACAGGGAATGGGACAATGGTTTCTGCCGGCTTCAGTCTCAAGAACTCATTTTGATTGTCATCTTTACTTGCGACATTCCCAGTTGTCCTTCCATGACAACATGGACTTGCGCCATCAGAAGCACTATCGACCCGGAGCAATACCCGACAGCTCTAGCTGAAAATTCTCCTTAATGCACGCGCTCTACTAAATGCAACAGCATGCAGGCATGCAGTTGGCACACACCTTTTTACAGACGTGGGGCGGCACAAGCCAGTGTGGTCCATCCAGACCGACAGCTGCAGATCGACAGCCGAAGATCTATCACAAAGCACAGCGAAGACAGAGTGCATACCGCTCAGTGTACAGCAGCACAGCGGCAGAGGCACAGTGCCGACAGTGCCAGCTGTCAGAAGCAGGCCAGCGGCTTCACAGCCCCTGCACTAAACGCAGGCAAGTGCACAGGTTTTACAGGTACGACAAAAACGACTATCACCCGCGTCAGTAGCAGAAGCGACCTCGAAGGAGTCAGACAGCAGGCGACCGCACAGGAGGCGCCCTGTCTTCTGCTTCACAATGTGCAGCAACTTGTTCTTCTTATTCCCAGCCACAGCGTAGCCCCCAAGACCAAGGATGTTCTCCACAAAATGGGGGGCAGCCGCCACAAGCTGATCAGCACCATCATCACTGTCACAGGAAGCCTCAGAAGAGCCACTAGAGCTGCTGGTTGCAGCAGCGGCAGCAGCAGCAGAGGCAGCAGCCGCAGAAGACTTGCGCTCCGCACTGCTGGGTGGCGAAGAAACCAGCGAAGCGGAAGCCGAGCTCACAGGACTACCCGGTTCCTGCCAGCGACCGCTGCGAGTGACGTCTGGAGCGAACTTGCCCGTCTTCACTGAAGACACGACCTGCCACAGCTCACGCAAAGGACCAGCAAGAGCGTCTCTGCGATAACCAACATTCGACATGTTGACGCCGTGGCTGTGGTAACCCAGGAAAGTCAGGGTCTTGTCAGACAAACCAGCCTTAGCACACCAGCTCAGCAGGGTGGCCTTACAACTGTGACTTCGCACCGCAGCAATGGCCGCCAGGTCAGCATCAGGGGCCTTCGCCAGGATGCAGCGGAGCCACTGAGTAAGCTGACTGCTGCTAACACACTCCTGCAACCGCAAACCAGCAGCAGTGAGCCCAGGAAGCAGAGGGTGGTCAAGTGCACCATTTGACTCCAAGCGGTTTGCCTCACGAACAGCCAGGAAAGTGGCGCCCCAGGGGATGTCAGACACGCCACAGAAGAGAGCAGTCAGCGGCATGAACAGATTTCTCTTGCTACAGGCTCTTGCTTGCTTGGGGTTCTTGACTCTGCACTCAACGAAGCCATCCAGCCCATCCGGATATAGGTCAAACTCAATATGAGTGGCGCGCGCAACATCACTGCGGCGCGCCCGGGCAAAGACCATAAAGCAGAGAGTTGAAGCCACCAGTCTCTCGTAGAGGTCGTCAGCAGTAGCAGCGTAGTACTCCAGCCACCTGAGTTGAGCAACAGTCAGAGCAGATGCCTGAGCCACTTCCTCCTTAGTGCGCAGATGTGCATGGGCAAGGCCACGCACCCGAGCAGACAGCAGCTCCTGCACAGACACACGTAGGCCCAAAGTGCCGTGCACAAAGTTCAGACTGCTCACGAAGGAGTCGATGCTGGAAGCAGCAGCAACACCTTGAAGCCAGCGACAGTGCAGCCACACAACGCTCTCGGATGTCACATCCTCGGGACATGTACGCCGTCTCCACAAGACAAACCTGGTCAAAGGAGAGGCCCGAGTTAACAGCGTGTTAGTGCTCTTCTTGCTGAACAGAACATCAAGATGCTCCACCACAGACTCATCGCCTTCAGTAGGCAACTTCTCCACAGTCGCCAGGCAGAACAACCCAGGCGCCAACTTCAGCAGGTTGGACCACTTACACAGCACCTGCACACGCTTAGTGCGTTCCTCCTGCGAACTCCAGCCAAACCCTTTTGCCTGACCAGGTGCACGGAAAGACGTCGGCAACGACGCTACAGAAGAGCTTGCAGGCAGACCAGTGTTAACAGCAGAGCACTGCTTCGGCACAGGCACAGGCAGAGGGGCTCGAAGCAGCTCCTCGAGAGACTGGCTCAAAGAAGAAGGCTGTGTGCTCAGAAAAGAAAAAGTGCCAGACTCCCAGGGCAGGCTGAGGTGAGAAGACCTCGCCCGCACAGGGCCAAAGCCCATGCCATGGGCCCAGAATGGATCAGTATCCTGCCTCATAGGGATGGGAGGGCGGGCAACAGAATAACAGCACTTAAGCCAAAATGGCCGCGCGATGCATTAAAGTCGCATGTCAAGACATAGCAAGCTTAATGCACGCGCTCTACTAAATGCAACAGCATGCAGGCATGCAGTTGGCACACACCTTTTTACAGACGTGGGGCGGCACAAGCCAGTGTGGTCCATCCAGACCGACAGCTGCAGATCGACAGCCGAAGATCTATCACAAAGCACAGCGAAGACAGAGTGCATACCGCTCAGTGTACAGCAGTACAGCGGCAGAGGCACAGTGCCGACAGTGCCAGCTGTCAGAAGCAGGCCAGCGGCTTCACAGCCCCAGAAACTTTAACAGCCGCTGGCCAAGGAGACCAAAGACCCCACGTCAACTTTCACTTCCTTGGCCTTGGAAAGAAAAGCTGGGCACAAGCCACGGCTGGGCCCATCGGCCGGATTGCTATGCGAAGGCACCCGGCAAACCCACAGCTGGATGCCGAGAGAGGCTTCAAAGCGCAACATGCGCTCCAGAATGCACATCGCACTGTCCGGCCTGACGAAACCATTAATGACCCCAAACCTAACGACTTCATTGTCGACCCAGGCACAAGTGTTGGAGTCACGAAGGGCCTGACTCCAACACGTAACTGAGGCAGCAACGGCAAGCAGCTCAGCCTGTATGATTGGATGCTCAGAGTCCTTGCAAAGCCAGCCCTCAGTAACAGCGCCAGGCACTTCACAACCGAACCATTGCAGAGGCTGACACCAGCCGTCACATAGGACGCCCCCGATGGAAGCGGTGCCGTCTTCAAAGGCTCCATCAGTGAACAGATGCAGCTTCTTGCGGCTGGCAAGTGACCATACCTTGGGATCACCTTTGGGGATATGATCAAGGATCCACCTGATCGCCCACAACAGCTCAGCAGACAACTCACGCAGAGTGTGAGGCTTGCTCGCCCGTCCAGCAGACAGCAGAACACGAAGAGCAGAGCCAGCAGTACGTCCAAAGACCTGTCCGGACAGCCACCGCACCCTGCTGGCAAACTGCTCGCACTCCTTGGGAGTTGCCTGGCAGGACCTAAGCTTTTCAAGACACCAAGCCGCCACCTCAGCTTTCCTTGCCTCAGTGTTGGAAACTGACAGACTACAGTCAACGCCAGGCGTCAGCAGGAACACGACACCAAGCGACTGAAAGGCTTGCGCGAAGGACACAGCCTTGTCGCTTTCAAGTGCTAGGCGCCAGCCAAGAATGCGAAACAGCATGTGGACTGAGGCCTCAGCGTTGACGGCATCAGATTCCAGCACAATACAGGTGTAGTCATCAAAAAACATTGTTGCAGGGACCAGCGCAAGACGGCACAGAATGCGCCACAGAGCCAGCGAAACCCGAACAAAGCCCGGAACACTACCCCCAGCACCAAAAGGAAGTGCAAACATTTGCAGCACTCGGACGGCATTGTCCTCAGGTGACCAGACTGTTACAGCAGCATAAGGTAAATCGTCAAGATGAATCGGCAGCTGCCGATAAGCACTCTTCAGGTCAAAACAACGACCTAAGAGGCGCATGCCACGAGCTTTGGCGATCCTCAGCAGACGCAAACCAAGTGCTACTGTGTGAGCTGTGGACATTGTGGTCACCTTTTCACAGGTGCCAAGAGTATCATTGAGGCCATTGAAGCTGAAGTCGTCCACACCTCTGACCTTATCACCCTGAACAACGGCAAACCTGCGGCTAAGCAGAACCTCAGTAGGTGGCTCCGCAGAAGACGGCAAGAGCATGGCCCAGCCACTGGAAGCGTCTTTGACAGTCGCGTCCCACAAAGAGCGGTCAAGCTCAGCAGAAGCAGTGGGAGTGGTCTGGTTCCATGCCTTAGCGTTGAGATCAGAGCGTTGCCGCCACAGGTTCGCAGCAGACTCAGATGGTGCAGTGATCTTTGGCTCCATGACACCACTAGGAGCGAGCCAACCCGTGAGCTTGAAACCCGAACAAATGTCGGCCACCAGCCGGGTGTCCTCATGCCCAAGGCTGGACAGCAGTTCCTCCAGCAGCAACAAGCGTTTGCCTTTTAGAACAGTCTTAGCATGAGGCTCCAAACCTGAATGCAGTGCCGCTTCACGAGTCGCTAACTCATGTGACATCTGCAGAATGCTGTGAAGGAAACGGCACCTGCGACATGCCAACTCGGCACAACTCATGCGAGAGACAGCTGACAGCGTTTCCTCCAGGTCAGCAGGCAACTCCACATCACACTCAGACGGATGTCGAAAAGAAGCAGCAGCCTGCATAAAGGCCTCAGGCTCGCACGGAACCCCAACCTCAACGAGCCAGGATGCTGCCTCCTTCACACAGGAAAGAACCTTGCAACCTTTCGGTGCCCCCGCAATCTGTGCAACAGAACCAGGCACCAGCAAGTGCACAGCAGTGCTCAGTGGCAACCTCACCTGAATCTTATCGCTGAAAGGGTTACTTATCTCGCCAGGATGCCGGCCCCTGGGAAAAAGGCCAAGAGCGCGACGCGTCTCAAACAGGCGCGCAGGCCCAGACCAGTTGACAGCAGACGGCGCAAGCCGCGCCGACAACTCAGATCCCCAGTGTTTCTGAAGAAGATGTGCCCAGAACCGGCACAAAGGCACAGGGTATGCAGCCTCAGCCTTGGTGCTCCAGGTGCCATCAGACAGTCTGCCCCAGGGCTTGTGCACGTGGCCCAAGGAAGGAGAACACAGCGCCTCAAGAGAACCTAGGCAGCGCAAGTTGCTCCAAAGCGCGGTACGTTTGGGCCTGTCACCCCCCCAGCAGCAGTGGTCGAAAACCACGGTGCACAAGTCACTGCCAAGATGCTTGCAAAGGGAAACCATGGGTGAAGCTAGCCAGAATAGGCTCGAAGACGGATTTTCAATGCTCCAGCCAATCTGTCTACTCTGGCAGAAAAGGGCAACATCCCTACACAGTCCGTATAACCGATTTGCATTGTGAACCTGGAACCTTTGTGAGAAACTGAGCCCAGGGAGGCCATCAGGATGTGCAGCATCCCTCAAAGGTCGTGGCCCACCTGGTATGAAGCGGGCAGCAGATGCAGTGCTACACGGTGGCGCCATGTGCACATACAGTACCTGGCCGGAGTTGAGAATTTCCCACAACACAGCCAAGCCAGAGGCAGAAAGCAAGTCAAGCTTCAGAACTTGGTGTCCGGCAGCATCCTTCACATCAACAGCTACGGTCTCGAAACCTGATGCCTTCAAGCACTTGCTGAGCCTGCAAGACCCAGCAAAAATCTCTACAGCAACACAAGCACGAGCCGTGCCAACCTCAGGACGACTAGCCGCAGCAGGCCCCGGCAGGAATGCGGAAAAATTTGTATCACTGGAAAAAGAGCCCTTCACAGTGGGGCTCGCCTCAGCCACCGAGAGCTGAGCGGAAGCCGAAGAATCTTCAGTGGCAGGCAAAACAGGAGAAATGGCGGCAGCAACAAGCGGCTCGGTGACAGTACCGATCGCAGTGACAGCTGCAGCAGGCGCAGCAGCAGCAGGAACAGAACACTGAGGCAGGGGCGCGTGCATAGACTCAGCAGAGGCAGTGGGCTGCGCCTCGAGGATACAAACCACCGAGGGAACAGAGGCCTCAGCAGAACACGACGACCCAACCTCAGGATCTGCACATCAGTTGCTGCGTGCGTGTGCACCATGGTCAGGGCTGCCGCACTTCATGCACAGATGCAGCCCTTTCTCACACTGCAACCCAGCAGGGGTCTGCCAAGTCTCACGCTTGCAACCGTGAGCCAAGTTGCGATCGAAACACAAAGGCGTGCCATCCTTGTTAGGGTCCAAGCCTTTGAGGGCAGCAGGAACAGCAGTCTGCTTAGCAGGGGAACCGGGCTTGCCACCACCGGAGGTCTTGCCCGCCTTTCCCCGGCCACCTTTCTCTTTGCCTTTGCCAGGACGGTTGTCCTTGCCATCGCCCTTGCCCGTCTTGCCCGGAGGCTTGGCGGGATCATCAAGTGCACGCTTTTTCTCACGGGGCATGATATGAAAAGCAACAGCAGGGGCACCAGCGGCAGCAAGCAGGGCAGCATCGACCTTGGTAGCAACGTCCACAGCAGGCAAACAAGGAACCTGAGCAGCAACCTGTTGCCAGACAGCACGATCAGCCGCCAGCACGGCGTCAATGCCAGGAGCAGAGTACCCAGGCGGAGGCATGCGCTGCAGGTGGTCCAACAGACCACGCACGTAGTTCTCGTGCACAGCAAAAGAACAGACGCCAGCGACCTCCAGGGCAACACCTCGCCGGCTCAGTGCCTGATACAACCTCAGTTCATTGCCAAGGTCAACCTTAGGCAGCACAGGCTTCTTGGCAGCTTTCAGGGCAGTGGCCTCAAGGCGAAACAACGTGTCATCACGCCGTTCTGAAAGAACCTCCTGCTCACGAGAACTGCACTTGCTAGGCGGCAAGTACCGCACAGAGCTGTCAGCGAACATCCCAAAAGCGGCATCAATGAGAACGTGGCTCGGCTCGAAGGAGCCAGTGATAGGCCACGCTCCTAGTTTGGCACGCAATGCATCCATGCGACTGGCCCGTTCCTGAGAAGTCAATTTCTTGGAGCCATCGTCCTCGCCTGCCACTGAACTCCTAAGCTCGGCGACCACGAAGGTCCCGGCCTCAAAGAGGAGTCGCGAAAAAGCGGCGACCACTCCTTCAGAAGCCCCAGCACCCAGGTGCTTCTCCTTGGCCGCCTTAAGCCTAGCCTCGTCCACAGCCCCAGGCGCACTCGCCACGGCGAAGAGCAAGGCAGAGTACGTGTTGATGCCAGAGGCAGACAAACTGTCGAGCACACCCTGACTCAGGCCGTATTGCCGAGCTTTGCTAGCGAACGTCACCGCGCTATCTGCCACACTGGCCATCTCACACGCAGGTGCAGCTAAGGTCAGAGGCACAGCCCAGACCAGCAGCACCAGAACCAGAGACCTGCCAAGACTCAAGTCAGGCAGGCCCAGCTGAATAAAGCCGACCTCGACCACAGTGGCCAGAGAAGGTCAGGCAGCCTGCACAAGCAGGAGTAACACCAAAAACCATCAGCCAGGCAGGGCCCAGCCTGGTACAGCAGGAGAGACCTGACACTGGCAAAGTGCCAAGAGCAAGGCACAAGCCTGGGGAGCCGACCAGAGTCAGAACCAGGCGGCAGCCCAGGATCCTGCACAAGCAGGAAGTGAACAACGCACACAAGTGCCAGACCCGCCTCAAGGCGAGAGGCGTCCCAGCAGAGCCAGAGCCCCACAGGAGACCTGGATTGCTGAAACAGGGGCTCCAGAAGAGGGCAAGGCACAAGCCACCAGGGCCCAAGCCCGTGGAGCCGCAACCTGCGACCAGTAAGGAAAAACTCTCGCAAGAGAGGCAGGTGACCACAGCCCGGCCTCAAGGCCCTAGGAAGCAGGGCCCCCAAAGCCACAAGGCAGTGAGCCAAACAAGCTGCAGAAGCACAGTCAGAGGGCCAGCGCCCAGGCGGCAGTCGGACACAAGTCGACTTAAAGCGCGAAGGCCCATTCTTTTCAAAAAGCAGCAGGCAGCTCAGTTATCACGACAGCGGTCGCAGAAGTGTCGCCTATGCGGCCGACGTGCCGTGTCGGAGACGGGGCGACTGCAGGCATGGCCGCAGTCGCCCCAACATGCTGTGCTGCACCAGCCAGTCAAACTGCGGCCGTGACGCTGCAGATCAGCAGGAAGATCACGCAGCGGCATCCTCAGAGGAAGGCACCGCGTCAGGTCAAGTGGGATGCCCGCACGCACGTCACATGCGAGCACGTACGGGCAATTCGCCGTACCAGTCACACGAAGCCTCGCAAACTGAGGAGCATTCGCGCCACCAGTTGCAAGGCCAGCATGCACAGTGAGACCTTGGTACCCTGCCCAGGGATCAGCAGCGGCAACAGCATGGCCCGTCGGAAAAGACGGCGGAGGCGTAGCCACAGTTGGCGTAGCAAAGGCTGGAGCTCCAGCGCCCAAGCCTGGTGGATCCGCAGGAGGAGCCAGCGGTGGGTCGTCGACGGAAGTGTCCTCAGGGACCAAAGGCTCAGAAGACACGACAGGATCCGTGCCATCGTCCAGGCCGTCCATGGAGTTCAAGTCGACGACCGAAGTCGCCGGCCATTCCCACGGTGCCAAGTCCCCAACCCCACTGCTGGGCTCGGAAGACACCTCCTCAGATGCCAAAGCAGCAACAAGGGTAGCAGACCCAGCCACAGTGGCACCAGCATCGGCAGGGGCTCCATCAGGGCCAGTGTCCTCAGGCGAGGCAGGAATAAGCTCGGGCGATGAGTGAGCTGAGAGCTCACCAGACTGCCCCACAGCCGCAGAGCCACCGTCATCAACCACAGTGCCAGCACCTTGGTCAGCAGTGCCCGAAGCAGTAGCAGCGTCGGACACAACCTCAGAAGTGGCACCAGCAGGTGCACCAGAGGCAGCCTCAGTGCCAGCAGCAGACAACTCAGTAGCCACGGTAGCTCCAGGACCAACATCCAGAAGATCAGGCTCAAGCCCAAGCAGATCAGTATGAATGTCCTGAGATTGCACAGACATCACTCCAGCAGCAGGGCACGGAGGCAGGTCGTACTCGCTGGAGCCCTCCGTGTCATGTTCCAGATGGGCCATCTGCACATGGTCCCGGCAGAAGTAGTAGAGTTGGAGAGCCTCAGCAGAGGGAATTGCAGCCAGTGCCGCAGAGAGGTGAGCATCCTCGGCATGGGCAACAGCACGAAGACGCCGCACCACGGTCCGCAAAGGGTCGAGCGACATGACCAGCAACAGACCCAACAGCGAACAAGCAGCACCAGACTCAACAGAATAACAGCACTTAAGCCAAAATGGCCGCGCGATGCATTAAAGTCGCATGTCAAGACATAGCAAGCAAAATGTCCAAGATTGTGCCACATGGCATTTAGGATATTGGCTAACCCGAATACATCCGCCGGACTGCGCCGCTAGATGAATGTGGAGATTACAATGCTGGACGGAAAAAACGCCAAGGAAATGTGCTTTCTCCCCTGATCATGCCACCTGCTCATCTGGCTTGGAAGTCATGCAATTCGGGCATTCCACACACAAACGCAGAAGTGCCGCTTGTCTATTCAACCCACTGCCCTGGTGTCACCTTGTAATCTACAGTGCACACCTGTGTTGCACGACAAGTCCGCCGCTCTTACCACTTGCATTTGCATTGCACGCTTCTGGGCCTGCAGCGTTTGGCGCAGGTGCGACCGCAGCTGTGTGTCGACAGCATCGTTGGACTGATTCAGTTGGCCAAGGATTAAGAATTCTTAGACTGAGAAAATGGTGCAGCAAAGCTCATCTCGACAAGTCGGCGCAGGCCAGTGAGAGCGCCTGCGTCTGGGCAACCTGTCGGACCTGATCCGTCAAGCTTCCGCTTCTGAATCTTCATCCGGTTCTCTTCTCTAAAGCCAGGGTGCCTCTCGCCCAATCTCTGCCCGCAGCTCGGCAAGCGAGAAGTTCTGAGCGCGAGAGCGAGGCACCGAAGGAAAAGCAAGTGAGCCATCTGAGACGCTGCATCACGAAACCGACACCTGCGGCCCTGCATGTTCCAACGATGTCGCTGCAATCCCACTGACATGAACAAACTGTCAAGAACAGCTGATCAGCGTGCGCAGCCAAGAAGTGCCTTTTCCTCTTTGGCGGTCCCAGCCTCCGCAACTCCTTCTTCCTCCTCGGGAATGCCCTCCATGGTGCCAGCCTTCGGTTTTCTAAAGCCAAGGTCTATCTGCTCGGGCTCGCCCTTTTCGCTCCGGCGGGCCTGCTTGAACTGCTCTTCACGCTTGATCTCTTTGGCAAACTCGTCATTAAGCTCTGGAAGCAGCTGCTCCTCGCTCAGAAAAGCCCTCCAAAACAGCTGCGCCGCATGACGAAATGTCCTTGATGCCTTGGCATGTCACGGCGCAAATTATCTGCTGCCTTATCGTCATGCCGAAACAGGAGGATCGTTACATGCCAACCTGCTGTCCATGCTCTGAGTTCGAGTCACCTTAAAAGACTTTGCTCGATGCTCTGTCTGAAACCCTGACGTAAGGCAGCGGCCCTCCCATGCCACCTGCACGCTGGCCAAGGGTGACCTGCTAGCGTGAACCGCAATGTAGCTGTCAGGGTCCGTTTTGCGCGGAATATCCAGTCGGACCTCTGCTTGCTCATTGATTCTGCGTTTGGCTCGTATCTTGACAGTGATTTGGAGGCGGGGGAGGGAGCACTTGCCCCCAGAGACAGTGGCGGCCCTGCCGGAAAGACCAGCCATGCCGCAGCAAGCTCCACTACCGACACAGGCAGGTTGTCTTGCCGAAGGGGAGACTTTCGGCTGCTTTGCAGTGAATCGGCCATTGCGTGTTTTGCACATGACTCGCGTGAGTCGCTGGTGTCGCAGTCAGAGTCGTGCTGGACTGCAACAGCACCTGGAATTTGCAGCACCTAATACGTGGATAAAGGGTGCCGGAAAATTCTCAGCAGCATACGCTGCCCTTGGCAATGCCTGCACCTGCATTCATGTGCTCTTAACTCCAGCACATCGCATCCGCAAAACAAGGCTTGCGGGGACATGTGTCGGGATGGCTGGAAAAGCGGGAAGCGACAAGCGGTCGAAGGTGACATGCATTCGATGTTCACGCACGAAGAACGACCTGAAGCCCAAATGGCTCCTCGATTTTGACTTGCAAGGAACCGAAAGAAAAAAGTGCCAAGTCTGCCACCTGCACGTCCCGGGTTTCCCCCATGGCAATGCCCTCGAGACTCCGCTCCACCTAAACGAGGAGGCATTTCCCGTCTCGGTGTGACCTCGCGCTTGCCGTGCCTCGGCAGAGAAGGTGCTCGCTCCCAGCTCCAGCTCCAGGCCCTTCGCCTCAGCTGGGGAGAGGGAAGACGGGACGAGAGCGCGGTGCGCAGTGGTGCTGCACCATGTGCCATGGCATGGCCACAAAAAAGCTCCGAGCTGAACCGACGTCCAACTCCTTGCCCCGGGAACCATCCTGGCCGAGGTGGGCTCGTGCGCTACACGAGAAGTATAGCGGCTAACTACTAAATTGCTAAATCGCACCTTAGATGAAGCTGCCTCGTAAGTTTGTTCGAATAACGACACGAGAGTTTCCGAGCTGTCTGTTCGAGGAAATCTGCTCATGAAAAGGTGTGGCAGTGCATGTACGATCAATCCGCCGAGGCCTAATCCTCCAGTCCAAATGTTTGGAGACACCCTGTTTGTGCGTTCGTTTGCCACCCCCTTGTCCGGCTTCCATTCATTTTACCTGATTTGTCGGCCTCCCCCCCCCCTTCCCCCCCCTCCCCCCTCCCCCCCCCTCTGAGATGTAACCTGGACGTGTATCCCCTCGCTAGGCGTACAGGAACACAGGCACTCAGGTGTCTCTTTTGCTACAGGCGCACAGCTGTAGTCCACTGCACTAGAACCTTGAGCAACAGGCATGGATACATGCAAGTGATACGTGAAACAGACAGGCACCTGGATGTGTAACATTCAGTGTTTCAACCAGGCACAAATTTAAAACACGTAGAGCTGCATGGCCGTGGAGTCGGCATTCAACTAGCCTGTTATTGCTCTCGGTCGAATTAGCGAAGTATTGAGCTACATCTGCAACTTGAAGAGAATCTATACATCTCTCACCTGAAGACAGCTTCAATGAAAAGAGCAGAACACGCACGAAAACGCAAACGGATCTTCAACTGAAAACTTTTGCTTGAAAGTTGCCCACTTGTGTTCAGTTTCCTCTCCAGGCGGAAAGCTTACTGTCACATAAAAGATTGTAGAGCTTAGCTCCACTTGATGCCAGCATGACATCTTGCGACACGGCAAATATATAAGGGCATGAGAAGTATCTTATCCTGAGATAAGTATCTTTCTTTGAGAAAGAGTTCTTTAGGAAGTACCTTTTCCTGAGAAAAGCATCTCCCTATGAAATGACGAATGCTCAAGTGGATACCTTCTTCTGAAAGAAGCATTCCGTGAAACACTCTGCCAGTTCAGTCGATGAACTCTATGTCGCGATCCCAGGTTCTATCACGCCAATGTTCAGTACCATGCCAGCGGTAAATGTCAACCGTGTGGATCGGCATCACCGGAGCATGGCGAACAGGGTCGTAACCGCGGGGATCAGCAGGGGATCTAGGTAACGAAATCTGTGGATCAGGAGCAACGGCATCATCTTGTTCCAAAGGAACCTCGTCGAGTCCATTGTCCATTTCCACATCCGAAGAATCGGAACCTAGTCAGTGTTTCCCCTTGCTCTTGCCCTTGGACTTGTCCTTGGACTTGCCTTTGGACTTGCCCTTGTCGGCGTCCTTGCCTTTTCCTTTGGAGGACTTGCCTCCTTTGCCGCCTTCTTTGCCACCAGGAGGTTGTGCGGGTTCTTGAGGACGTTGAGAACCAGAAGCTTTAGCACCAGAAGCTGCCTCTTCCTGAGAAGAGCTTGCTCCCTGTGGTGCGGCTGCAGGACCAGTAGAACCAGAACCACGCGCCTTGTTCAGCTTCTGTCTCTCTTTTCTTCTGTCCGCGGCTTCCTTCACGGTGTCGGGATTGCGGTTGAGCGCTCTCATCCTGCCTCCAGAGTACTGGTTCGCGTGAACCTCGATGAGGAGCGGAGTGTGAGCGTCATAGTCCCGATCGTTGAGAAGGTACGCGGCGCTGGTGGAGTTTAACAGCCACTCAGAGACATGGATGTCGAACTCAGTCTTTGAAGACGGAAACTCCGCCCATTGATCGTCCGACATGCTGTGTCCCCATTCCATGACTGTAGCCATAACAGGATCCAAACCAGGAAAAGTATTCCAGTCTGGTTGCTTAGCTTCCTTGTATGGCATTCCCAGCGTGTCCTCATACTGTTTCAGAAGCCACATGGCGTTTGCTGACACATGTCTCGCACGAGGCGCACAGAAGTGTGGGCACCTTGGGCTTTCTGACCAGGCCTCCAAGAAGTAGTCGAGAAGGCTTTGGTACATCCCGCCACGAATATCCATCGACTCCTGCTTTCTGCCGGTGGCCCGGTAGAGGGCCATGTTGGCGTCGCCACCGATGAGGTCGACTTGGTAGTGCAAGCAGTCGATGAACATGTTGCCCAACACTTCATGAGCCAACGCCACCTTGTCTGCCGCCGCGTCGTTGTGGAGGTGGAAGACACAAACTCTGAGCCGGTCGGATCCAGCTCGCTCCAAGACCTTGGTCAGTGACTCATCTGGAACATCACCACGACTGCCCTGGAGACCGGTCGGTAACGTCATGCCATACACGATTTCCGCGACCATATAGGTTATTGGAAGGGACTCGTGGGCATATCCACTGAGAGTGGAGCCGGCAAGACGGGTGATCGAAGATCCGACACCATTTGTACGACTTCCCACCATCAGGTCCTTGGACTCGTTACGAAGGAATTGCCAACCGCGTGACTTGAGGAAGGCCTCTTCGGAGTCATCGATCTTAGCCGCTTCGCAGAGCATGAACAAATGCGTCTTCGACTGTGCAATCGATTTTATCAAGGCTCCTTTAGATGGTGTAGCATCGTCCCAGTCAATGTGATTAGCAACGGAGCTAGGAGCGGAACGCTTTCTTCCCCTGCTCATGTTGCCGAGATTGAGGATGAGCGCGGCATACTTGGTCTTGCTGGTGAAGATAGGGACATTGGAGTCCTCTGCCAGACCAAAACGATGAATATAAGGATTCGGCGTCTTCTCAAGAGAGAGGTCCCCGATCTCCTCTTCATCGACTCCGGTGCTCAAGAAGTAGTGAAGCATAGCATTCAAAAGTTCTTCTCGAGTTGCCGGATTGCCGCTTGCATCCAGGGACTTCAGCTTATCAAGAAGTGCTTCCATAACCTCCAGTGCTGATTCTCGGATGTCAGAGGCCTTGCCCATGAGCTTGTCGTCCAAGGTGCTACGAACGTCCCCAGAACGAAAAACAACGTCCTTTTTGTCGGGACGGCGCTCATAGATGGGATCCATCTTGTTGAGTTGGTTGAATAGATCCACCATAGAAAGAGAGTATTTCTGTCCCTTGTGGTTCGGAACATTTACCCTCCAACTCATATGCTGCACCTTGTAGGCGAGAACGGGCTCGTAATCAGGATCACGAAGTCCTGTATGATACAAGCCTGAATAGCCATATCCATGCAACTGCTTGCAGAGCAGCCGCATAGGGCTTTGTCGTTCGATTTCGGTGAGCTGCGTAAGGAAATGTTTGAACTCTTCGAGATCAACGAGCTCGATCTTTTCCTTTGCCTTGCCCATCTTGTCGAACGCGTTCTCATTCTGGTCCTCTGCATCCTTCGCGGCCTGGTAGTACTCAGGATCCGGAACAGTCTTGCATTTCCCCCAGATGCCTTGATCGTGAAGTTCACTTTCATCATCCTTCTCGGGAGAAATGTCTGGCATGGATTCCTCACCCTGTGGTGAGCCTTCCTCAGCCATTTCGATGTTCTCGGACTTACCTCCTTTCTGACCCATGTGCATATCAGGTTCGACCTTCACCTCGGATGCCTCTCCCTGTGGAGAGCTTTCCGTGGCTTCGGTCTCCATTGGCTCGACAGTAGCCCCAGGTACCTCTCCCTGTGGAGAGCTTCCTGGAGCATCAGTCTCCATTGGCACATCTGTCGGCTCGGTCTTAACCGGATCAACCTTCTTGCCCTGTGGCAAGTCCTTGGATCCAGACGACGGTCCGGAGGTATCCATCTGAGTAGCCGCGGGAGGCTCCTCGATCTCCTCGATCTGTGGACATGGGAGTCGCTCGATGAACTCCTCAATCATAATGTCGTCATATGGTCGGGTGAGGAGCTCATTCAGCTCAGACTCCTTCTTCGCCTTCAAGTCTTCGTACGCCACCAAGTCAGCTTTTGCCTTGCGGGCGAAAGCCGACTTGAAATCGCGCTGGTCAGACTCAGCGAAGACTTTCTCCAGAACCGCCAGGAGGTAGCTGCCGTTGAACGGCTGCTTCAGGGTACTGTCGTAGAGACAATAGCCCTCAGGGGTTCGCACCGTGTATTTACGGCGAACCTCCAGATCACCGGCGTGGCGCTGGATGTAGGAGAAGAAGTCCACTCCATAAGCCTCATTGATGACGCGGACGAGCATCTGGAAATCCTCTCGCACATAGCCAACCTCTTCATACACATACCTTTCCCTGAGGAAAGCCTTGTGTGCGGCGAGCTTGCGAGAGTAGTCGGGATCCTCTGTCCTTGGCATCTTTGCACGAGAGTCATTGTCCCGAGGGCGATCGAATCCAATGTTACCCACGTTGGGCCTGAATTCGTTCGACGCGGCAACGGAGACATCGTCCAGCATCTGGGCAAGACCGCCAGGATGACGCTTAAAGTTCATCCAAGGTGACGTGTAACCGTTGGAGTAAACCTTCGGTTTCTTGTCCAGCTCCACGAGGTAGTTCCCCTGCAACTTCCCCATCTCGAAGGCCTTGAGGAAGAAGTGCAGGGAGTACCCCGAAAGAGGATGCTGCAACCACGATGCCCAATCGTATTCACCACCCAAAGACTCTCTCATAGAAGTAGTCAAAGTGTGCCAGGGGGTGACCTGAACGAGGGCATCGCCATAGGTGCTAAGCATCGGCTGGCCAGAGGAGTCCACCATGTGCAACTTGCCGTGGGCGAAGAGATGCCATGGATTCGTCCTGGCCTTGCGGAGAACCACGTTGAGCTCCTCCTGCTGCTGGGACTTATGCGCATCAATCTTGCCGTGGACGGTGTCCCCAGACTGATACGCACACTTGGTGTCTCCTTCGGAGGCTGTGGCTTGCCGCTCCCGCTCTGCCTTATAAGCTCATTGTCACGAATAAGCTTCTGGAGAGCTGCTGCGTCCAATGTGGGTACCTTCTCCTGAGAGAAGCTTCCCGGTGACGCTTGGCCTGCATCCTGAGATGTCTTTGGCCGCTTCTTGGGAGCTGGCTTCGAAGGCATTGGATCCGAGCTGCTACCCGGTACCCCTCCCTGTGGAGGGCCTCCGGAAGCAGATGCGGAAGCAG